GGCACAGTGGTAGAGGGTCATGGGAGGATGCCAATGAAGCAATATTACATCAATTGGCCAAAGGGGGGCGCTATAGCAACCCACTGAAATGTCAAACTTTGAATGGGCATATCTCATGCCCTGTATGTCGTAGAGACATGAAACTTTGCACAGAGATGCCTCTCCTCATGAGGAACACATTTGCCTCAAGAACCCATAACTTCCGCTTATATAGATTTTGCGCCATTTTGAATTTTTTGAAAAACACTTCAAATGGATCTCTTCCTAGGAAGGGGGTCTGTTCATAAATCCGACATCCCATTATTCCGACATCCCATTGTTCCGAAATCTCAATGTTTCGACATCCCATTGTTCCGACCATATTAAACCCATTGTTACGAAGTCCTGTTGTTCCAAAATCTAATTTTTCATTGTTACAAAATAACTGTTTCATGATTAAGGTCTGGTTAGGTTTGTTTTTTTTTAAAGATATGTTTTTGGGCATTTTCACCTTTAATGGATAGGACAGACAAGTGTGAAAGGGGGAGAGAGAGAGAGAGGGGGATGACATGCAGCAAAGGGCCATAGGCTGGACTCGAACCCGGGAGCCTGCTCTACCACCAAGCCACCGACGCCCCGGTCTGGTTAGGTTTAGGCACAAGAACTACTTGGTTAAGGGTTAAGAAAAGATCATGGTTTGGGTTAAAATTATAACTTTCAACATCGTTTCTACTTCCTCAAAACAGGGCGACCGTTGTCGTCATGGCAACAGTAAACAACACGACAAAATGGTGTCTTGCTGCTTTCCCTTGCTGCTCGCTTTTTCAACTTTTTGCATTGCAACATGGAGATTTCAGAACAAAAGGACTTCGGAACAATGGGATGTCGAAGAAATGAGATTTCGGAACAATGGGTAATTTTCGGAATAATGGGATGTCAAAATTATGACATGGCACCCCTAGGAAGTTTGAGCGATCTGCATGAAACTGGGTGAACATAATCTAGGGACCAATATCTAAAGTTCCCTCTTGGCAAAAGTTGGAAAACTTACTAAAACTGAGCTTCTATAAGGCAATGAATATTGCGGAGGGCGTGGCTCATCACATAAAGGTGTATAACATCTCAAGGGTTTCACCCATCACCACGCAACTTTGTAGGCATATGACCACACATAATCTGAGGGGACCCCTCCATTATTGACCCCATCAAACAAAATGGGGGCGCTAGAGAGCTCATTTCTTATCTAGGCCTAACCGCCATATGGATTTTTACTAAACTTGGTAGATATGTAGAACAGGACGACGTTCATTTTTTGCCTATATTTGACAGGACAGTGAAGCATGATAGGAAGGATAGGAGAGAGCAAGGAAGACATGCAGCAAAGAACGAAGGCCGGATTCCAACCCCCACCGCTGCAACAAGGGCTAGCCGCACCTTTCCCATGTGAACTACCCGTGCGCCCCACTTTTAAGTCAATACAACATATAAACACTTTAACTATCTGCCTTTCAACGTGCTACCTCAACTACTAATGTACAGTTTTAGCCCACTAACTATCCCACTATTGGCAATGGTACTACTGTACTTTCAATAAAGAAATCATACTATCACATTCACACAAACTCTGTCTGAATACATTGCTCTTCTTCATGGGTTCAGTTGACTATTTAATCTGCAATTTCCTATGACCTGTATCCCAAACACACACCATGTGAAACTGTACGTGGGCACCTGTGCACTCAATGGGTATGGACTAGTTGCATAGAAAGAAGCGTACCTACAGCTAACTCACCTCACACCACTGAGTTAGCTAACGTAACAGCTTAGTAGAGGAGCCTCTCCTCCATGAGTAGATGCACACTTCCCTCTGTGCAGTGATACGGGTGGCAGGTGTAGCTCGGTAGAAAGAAAATAGTTCCTATATGAAACTGCTCACAACAAAGTCTGTGGATTATCTTGAATAACCAGGTCATGATTTCTGGACAGAGTCATTGATGTTGAGTTTTTCAAAGGTACTTTTTTTTGTGGGGGGGAGGGGGCGCTCTGAGCACCACAAGCTGAGAGACATCTCTACAGCTGATATCTCCAACACTCTGCTACTCACACTGAAACAATCTAGACTGATAAACAGCACTACAGGGAAATATGTAGTTTTGATTTTGTGGTAAACTGAGCTTTAAACATATTCGACACACTAGATAAAATAATATAATCCAGACCATCTAGGGCTCCAAAAAATACAATATAATTGGGACTTTTAGCATCTTTTATTCATACCTGTCAGCATGTAGAAGTCGTTGAAGTAAACAATGATGTCCTCCTAAATAAAGAAGAAGACCATTAGACGATTATATCCCATGTTTCAGCCATGTGTTGTGTGCAAATGTTAAGCAGGCAGCTGTCAGAGCTCCCTGAATTAAGAAGGTTTGAAACAGAACTGCAACGATAAGTTGATTGATTGATTCGTTAATCAAAAGAAAATTAATCACTAACTGACTTGATAACTGATCAGTCATTTCAGTTGTTCTTCAAGCAAAAATGTCAAACACTTGCTGGTTCCAGCCTCTTAAATGTGAGAACTGCTTGTCTTTGTCATTTATAAAGACGCTTCAGGTTTTGGACCTTTGGTTGGACGATCGATGCAATTTAAAGACATCACTTTGGACATTTGCAACACGTTCTCATCCTAACTCATCAAATAAAGCCGCTTTGTCAATGGACTTACATGTTAATATGATGCTTCAGGTACCCTCCTGCATCTGTTCCAGTGTTCACAGACGGTGTCTCAACTGATACTTCTTATATTCTTTGCGTCTTTTTAATATACGCCTCCAATTGCACAGGAAATGTACAAATTCTTTTTCAAAACTTGAAATGCTGATAAAATACTTTGTGTTTAGGTTGACTTCCTGAGGTTTAGGCAACAAAAGGACGTGGCTAGGTTTGGAAAAAAACACCATGGTTTTGCTTACAGTTCACACCAAAGCCAAACAGTGTCCTCCTGGGTGAAAGTCTGGAGCTTGTGTGACCCATCCACCTCCCCTCATTGGCCCTATGAGGACTTTCATGTTCTTTATATTACGGTAGTTGCTGGTGGCATTAAAAACTGCATATAGCACCGCTGCTAAGGGTGCCTCTCTGCGTCTGCGTCTGATGTCGACATCCACTCATAAAGCATTAGTATTTGACGACTTGGGTTGTTGCCCGCTGCCAGTAAAACTGATGCTTCTGGTGCGTATCATACTGCTACGTAAGGTGCTTCTGCGCTTCTGTCTCTGGCGCTAAAATCACTTACAAAGCGGCGGTATTTGAGGAGTTGGGAGGAGAACAGGCTGTCATCTTTCACATTTTTTAAATTTCTTTTTAGACTTAATGATTAATCGATTATTCGTGACAGTAATTGGCAGATTAATTGATAATGAGATTAAAAATTCACCTCCTGACTCATGCTGGAGGATCCTCCAAACAGAAAGGCGACATTTCCTGCCACAGCTAGCGCGTGGCCCTGCCTGTGACAGAAGACATGGACAGTGAGAATGAGTCTGCAGATCCAATAATAATCTCAGCATCAGTCCATGTGAAGCCTTGAATTCATCACATTGTTAAAAACTATCCTGCAGAGAGGATGAATCATCAGTCTGGTGTCAGGACGTCATATTCACTGTTACAGGAAGAACAGTGACCCACCTGGGACTCGGGGCCTCTCCCCTCATCTCCTTCTCCAGCCAGTGACCGCTGGCTAATGCCATCTTCACATCTGCTGTCTCACACACACACACACACACACACACACACAGTCACCATCTGAATTGTTCAGGATTCTGAGTCACAGGTGAAACAACTTGCCCCACTGGGGAGGTTTTAACCTTGATCCTCTCTGTTGTTTTGTCTCTTAGTCATCACAGTATCTTTATTATATCTCACTCTGCTGCGCACACAATGAGTGATGAGTTTGGGTGAGAATAAAGCTGCTATATGTCGTTATTAGAGCATCACATGACTCATAATCCTGCGCTGTGAGACTAAGAAGTAGGCCACACTTTACCTCTAGATTCCTATAAGTATTTAAAAACCCTTCTGTTCTCTTAATATTCTTGTAGGTGTGACATCATCTATTGTAACTCCCAAACACATTAGGTCTCATTCATGAAACATGAGCAGAACGAATTTGTGTGTAAACTGTTTGCAGAAGGAAATGTATGTGTATTTCAGCATTCATCAATATGTTAGTAGCTCCAATATTTTTGAAGCTACTAACAAAATCTCCACCTGTGTCTGACTGCTGTGTAAATAAGATATTGCACATAAATGTTGCTAGTCATTAGGAATTACAATTTTAATTCATATTGTGTTGTGTTATGTTCACAGATGCCTTTGAAACACTTAAGTTAAACCAACACGTTCTCACTCCGACCTCGTCACATGTCCACGTTTGGTCATGGACTTTCCACGTCCAAATATGATGTCCAAGGTACCCTGGGTATGTTGGTTCTGGGACGCCATGTCAACTTCAGCCTGTTACATGCATTGTCTTCTTTCAAAATACACTTCTGTTTTCACAGGAAATGTACAGTTTGCATACAGTCTCTTTCAAAATAAAAGCACTACGTCGGTACAACACCGCTAATTTACGTTTTTTTTTTTCCTTCAACAACACACACACATGGTTAGGTTTAGGCAACAAAAGCACGTGGTTGGTTAGGAGAAAAGAACAGGGTTTGGCTTTAGAATCTAACGGGAAGTGAACACCTCTCTCTTGAGTGAAAATTGGTGTTTGTTGGACCCATCCACCACCCTTGCCACCCGCTTCAGTTGAACTTTTGCCACCTAAACTTTTGTCCTTGTCCCGCCGCATTTCCCCCTGATGCTGCTGGCCTCAGTTAAACTTTAATGACACCTGGCTGCGTATCATGTAGGCATTAAAGGCGTTAGTTTCTAATGCAGCAGGTCACACCCAATCGCAAATTTCGATGACTTTGGAGTGAGACCGGGCTCACCAAACACTGAGCTATCAGTGATGGCTGTCAGAATGTTTAGTAATTTAGCATTTAATTTATCACATACATCACCGTACCTTCTGAGTTTGCTATTGAACTCTCCAGTGGGGGCATGTCGCTGTCTCCGCCTGGAATGATTCCCGACAGATAGGCATCAAGTTTTATATCGAACCATTTTCATTTAAAGCCCCTACAAGGAACTTTCATTTTTGAGTTGATTTTGGCGACCCTGTAGACAAGAGTGGTAGTGTTTTGCCGGAATGAAGCCTACATTTCCCATGAGCTCTAGCGCATATTGTCGTAAAGATGCTTACCTGGCTCGCGCATGTGTTTGTTTTGAGGATGAACGAAACAACAAGACGGGAAAACTTTGCCCCCGCTCCTATCGGGGATCCCAGCTCACCTCTGCCGCGCCCCAGCTCCACCTCTCCGGCAAAAGCGCCACCGCCGCCGGGGTAAACGCAGCGGTCAGCTGGTAAGGCTGAAGGCCTGTTTGGCGAGCACTTCCACGGCTTCTTGGACTGAGTATGGAGCGGTGCCTCGCCTCTTTATTTCTCGGCACTTGCTGGTACCTGTCGTCGGCCTGGATGAGGTGTTCCAGCCCTGCGGCCCCTGCTCTCCTCGTCCCCACTGGCGCGGGGTGAATCTGCGCAACCTGCGGCCTCTGTGTGTGGCTCCCCGGACAGCTAACGCCATGGACCCACCGGCTCCTGCCAGGATTGGGCTGGTAAGTGCTAGATCGCTAGCGAACAAAACGTTTATCCTGAAGGATTTCCTGACTTCCCGAGGATTGGATTTTCTCTGTGTGACTGAGACGTGGCTGACTGTTGGTGAGTCCAGTGCTTTCACAGAACTTTTACCCGATGATTGCTGCTATTTTAACTCCCCGCGGACGTCGGGTCGAGGAGGAGGAATAGCGACTATTTATAAGAGTCACTATAAATGTAAGCAGCTAGGTAAGATGACGTGTGCCGTCTGAGTGCCGTAAATCGTTTCGTCCTGGAAGCGACCTGGGGCGGACCCGGAGACAGTTTCCTAAAGGTATGGATATACACTATATAGAAATAGCTTATCTTCACACCGATGGTCTCATTTGCTGTTGTAGGTCACGCACAGACATCAGCAGAAACGAGAGACTTTTGCATATCCAGTTAAAAGTTCCTTGTAGCGGCTTTAACATCTTGGATGGTTCTTACAACAGAGAACACAGAGTTAACAGAACCCGTTACCTTCTTCCAGGCCTTTGATTCACCTGTCCCTGTCACACCACTACTAACAACGTTTTTCTCAACCATCAAATATCACCGTCGGAAAAGTTTCTTTCTCTCTCTCTGTTTCTTTGTTTGCTCCATGTTCATAGGTCGACAGGATGCACCTATCACCTCCTTATATGGTGCTGTCAATTTACGATTGATTGGCATTCATGAGCATACACACATGCCTAAGATCAAATCTGAGTTTCCCGCAGTGTTCGTGAATCTGGTGTAGGTTTTAAGCACCAAGTTTCTTTTTAATGTGCACATCTACTCACAGGTATACCAACATTTCATGTATGAGACCCAGTGTGCTCATGCAGCAGGATGCTGACAGCAGACCCTCAAAATCTGATGTCATTTCTCCTCGAGGTGGCGCTACAGCAACATGATACATTTAAATGTTCATATCCAGATGCAGGTGAATAAATTCTACACTTTCTTTTGTCACAAACATATCAGATAATGTGTGGCCTTGGTGTGGACTAATTTAGAAAGCTGACGTCCTCAGCAGGATGACACCTACCTGTTCAGCTCTGTGTACTTCAGGATGTTGATGTCTTGCTTTTTCTAGTTCTGTTGTTGTTTTATTGAAGCTGCACTGAGCCACAGATGAGTCATCTCAGCTCGCGGTCCAACAGCTGTCCTCTGTGTCTCAGCTTTCAGGTAAGCTACACTTTCCTCTGCAGGTACGCTGTTGCCCAGCAACGCCTCCAAACACAATGCCCAGCAGAGCAGGTCAGCGTTGAACAGGACACAGTGAGAACAGTGAGAGGAGATGATTCAGTCCTGGCTGCTGTCGCTGTTCCTTTACAGGAGAGAAAATAACTCTGATAAGTGATTACAAAAATAAATTGTGTGTGTGTGTGTGTGTGTGTGTACATTCACACAGATGGGTGACAAAGATAAAACCTGAATACATGAGTGGAGAAACATAAAGATACAAATGCCTCCACACAGATGCACTGCATGGTATGTACTCACCGGCCACTTTATTAGGTACACCTTGCTAGTACCAGGTGGGACCCCCTTTTTAATTCATGGTGTCATAGATTCAACAAGGTGCTGGAAACATTCCTCAGAGATTTTGGTCCATATTGACATGATGACATCACACAGTTGATGCAGATTTGTCAGCTGCACATCCATGATGAGAATCTCCCGTTCCAGCACATCCCAAAGGTGCTCTATTGGACTGAGATCTGGTGACTGTGGAGGCCATTGGAGTACAGTGAACTCATTGTCATGTTTGAGATGATGTGAGCTTTGTGACATGGTGCGTTATCCTGCTGGAAGTAGCCATCAGAAGATGGGTACACTGTGGTCATAAAGGGATGGACACGCTCAGCAACAATACTCAGGTAGGCTGTGGTGTTTAAACCATGCTCAGTTGGTACTAAGAAAACCTCCCCCACACCATTACACCACCAGCAGCAGCCTGAACCACTTCCTTCATCATTCTGATGCTCAGTTTGAACTTCAGCAGCTCGTCTTCACCATGTCTGCATGACTAAATGCATTGAGCTGCTGCCACATGATTGGCTGATTAACTATTTGCTCTAACTGGTCTTAAATAGATCATGTAAACTCTCAACAGTGTTCAGGCACTTTATTTATGTCAGCTGCAGGTAAAATGATCCTCCAGTCTGAAAATGAGTCATGTATCTGTGTTCAGATGGACACTGACTCATCTCATGTGGACTGCGGACGAGAACACAATGATGCTGTCACCTGTGTTGACACTGTCTCACATCTGATTTGTTTATTCAAATATGATCACAGCTTGTTTCTACCTCTGAGGCTTTTATAACTACTGGAAGTCTGGACACACTTGAATGAATGATTATTTTTTTTATTTTGGTTACATACATCTTGAGGAACAAAGATTATTTGACACAAATTTTCTCACAGCCAAAGGATAACCCGGAATATCAACGATACCAACAAGAGGAAATAATTAAATTAATTAATTAATAAGTAAATAAATACATTATACTCTAAATTAGAATCCTGTAATGTTTACAATTTAATAATTTTATTTTATAATCCATGGTCCATATCATAGTTTGACTCCCAAAACTGAAACACATTATTATTATTATTATTATTATTATTATTATTATTATCACACATAGCCTATGGACTTTTAAATAATTTAAAAAAAAACTCCTATTATTGTTATTATTATTATCATTATCATTAGTATTATTATTATTATTATTACACATAGCCAATGGACTTTTAAATAATTTAAAAAATAGATAAATAAAAAACTGTTATTATTATTATTATTATTATTATTATTGCACATAGCCTATGGACTTTTAAATAATTTAAAAAAAATTATTATTATTATTATTATTATTATTACACATAGCCTATGGACTTTTAAATAATTTAAAAAAAACTCCTGTTATTATTATTATTATTATTATTATTACACATAGCCTATGGACTTTTAAATAATTTAAAAAATAGATAAATAAAAAGCCTCTATAATTATTATTATTATTATAATTATTATTATTGCACATAGCCTATGGATTTTTAAATAATTTAAAAAAACTCCTGTTATTATTATTATTATTATTATTATTATTATTATTATTTGTTTCTTTGTTTATTTATTTCCAGTGGATGCTTGGTATCAGACCCCTCTTGCCTCCTGTGTGACCTCTAAATGATGAAGAGGAGGAGGAAGACATATGATCATATTTTTCCTGATCAATACCAAACAGGAGGCTGACATGTTTCTAAATATAGAAATAGCTCAGTGTGATGGAGCCGCTGATCTTTAAGACGTCTCGTGCTGCGTCTGATTCTGTGATTGATGATGTAAGGTCACGTTTCCCTCCGTCACCACTCCTGTGTTTTTAAATGATGTTTTATTCACACACACACACACACACACACACACACACACACACACACACACACACACAACCACAGCCGCCTACACGTGATACACTCGTCTATTAAGATCCATCTGCTACTGTCAAAAACAACCGGAATACAGATCCACTTTCAAAAATAAAATCCACATGTATTCATGAGCACAATATTTGAAAGTAATGAAAAGGTTTTAGACCAGGACGAACCACGTGTTTAAAGGAGGTTGATATTTAAAGAAGAAAAAGAAAATGCATTAAGTCTGAAAACATGTTTGCACATTGTGTTCTTTCCGAGCGCTTTTATTTTGACGGCATAATGATATTTCCGGTTTGGTACTGGTTCTGTTATTGCCCGAGAAACGGAGGAATGCTGCTGCAGATCTCTTCTTCTGTCATCCTCTTATATGACTTTAATCTGTCATTCTCATTATTCTTACTTCCTGTGTGTACAAATCAAACACACCGTGTCCGTGTCCTGTGTTCTGGACCGGTCTGACCCGGGTCAGTCAGCCCAGAACCGGACCAGGGCTTTAAAAACCAGTAATGGATTCGATTGGACCGCAAGTCAAGTGCAGTCGATGAGACAGGAAGTGAAGTGATGTGGCTTTCAAAATAAATGTTACAGGTGTCCAGAGAAGATGAAGAAAAAGGATATTGTTAAACAGATTATCAGAGAGTAGTAAATTAATCAAGGACCAGTTAAGTGAATACAAACGGTGAACACAACCACATCTCTTACTTTAGCACCTTATGAACATTTTTCTGCCCATTAACTATGATGTACTGAAGGTGCTTTTAATCTTTTAATGAGACTAATTAATGGATTAATATATTAATGTATTTCATGACAAATTATCTCCACGATCTAAGAACATTTAAGGCATTAAAAATAAAACAGCTTAAAATTTACTAAATAAAAATAAAACTTAAAATCTTAAAGGACTTTATTTGGGGGGTGGATTTAATGTTAAATGCATTAATTGAGGCTTTTTAACACATATGTTCAAGGGTATCAGTGATGTAACTTTCTTTATTTCAACCCCTTACAAACCCCTTAATGTATTCAGGAAAATATATATATATATAACAATCCATTAATGTACCCTTTACTCTATTTATGTTGTAAATTAAGTGAATTGAAATTAGGTTGTTTTAAAGGGTTTAGCCTTCGCTTTTCAAACTAAGATACAAATTACGGGATCTTTTGCTACCAATCACCTTGATTCTACTAAAATTTCAGGGGTAAATTGTTCATTTGTTAAGGGCTGTGTTTGTTCAAGTGGTCATTTTTCTAATACTTGTATTTAAACTTAGTTATATGGTGCTATTGAAAGGGGTTTTGACGTCATGATGAATGGTCATGTATACCAACTGGTGTGCTCATGATCAGTGGTGTTGCTTGCCATTTATTCGGATGGTGAGAACTTGATACCGTGGCTCCAAATTACATCACTAGCGCAAGATGGCGACTATATTCAGGATATTTTGGCTTCATTTTTGCACAGTGGTAGAAAATCAGAGCTCTGTTTCACTCCAAAGTCGTCGAAATATGGCGCTGCTGCAGTGACTTGTGGTATCAGAAACCAACGACAAAGCTGTCCTTTAACGTCGGCATGACACACAGCTGGTTGTCGCTGTAGTTTCAGAGCGCCCACGGCGTCAGGGGGAAGTACAGCTGGACAAGGACGATAGTTAAGGCAGTGAAAGTCTGAATGTGGTGGGTGGATGGGTTCAACAAACACTTTCACCTGGGAGAGCAATTCATAAGCCAGACCCTGTTCTTTATTCCTTAACCTAACCATGTATTTGTTGCCTAAACCCAACTATGTTTGTGCTTTTATTTTGAACGAGACTGTGTGTAAACAGTCACTTTCCTGTGAAAACGGAAGTGTATTTTGAAAGAAGACAATGCATGTAACAACAACAACAACCAACACACCCAGGGTACCTTGGATGTCGTATCCGGACGTGGAAAGTCCATGACCGAAACTCAATATGTGACGAGGTCGTTGGTAAAACGCTTTGTATTTACATTTATTTCCTCGTGCAAAATGAGTATGTGGTTAGATTTAGGAAAAAAACATCATGGTTTGGCTCAACATTTGTTCGGAAATTGAGCAGTGGACTCCCGGGTGAAAGTCCGCGTTTTGTTGGACACATCCACCCCCTAACCCTATTTTACCATCAGCGTTTCAACGTCTGGCGGTGTTACACCTGTGTCATACCACCGCAAAAGGTACATTTTGCATTGGTGTCTGATGCCGAAATCATTGACCAAGTAGTGGTATTTGACAACTTGGGGATATGAACAGACTGGACATTATTAGAAAACATTACATAATATAATAAACCTGAAATAATTTTATTTAATTTATTTGACTCTATTATTACATCTCCATCTACCAGCTGCCTGATTACACGTGAACGCAGCACGAAAAAATTAAAAATGTATTTAAACTTTAAATTAGGCATGTAAAGTTATTCCGCTTTTAATCTGACAGGAAGCGCAACCCAAACCGGAAATCCTGTCCTGCTCCTGCCTAACTTGACGGCGAGAGTCGTTACACCAGGCGAGCTGCGGACCGTCGCGCTGACCTGACGGCGGATCTTACCGGAGACATTGTGGACGTTAACGCTGTCCGAACACGGTGTAAACTAGTGTTCACCCTCCGTTAGCTCGGTTTAGCCTCTTCGGGGCTACATTAGGAGGCATCCTGGAAGCACCGGGAGAACCGCGGATATCTACGCGGCATGGATGCTTCGTGACCCGCGGCAGGTGTGAAGAGATGCCGGGGGAGCCGCCGGCGGGAACCGGCCGGGTGGTGCTCGTGAAGAAGATCATCATGAAGGACGGAGCTGCGGTGGGTGCACGACCCGCCATTTTAATTTATATTTTATCATGAGTCCATCAACCTGTGCGACACTTCATCCGGCATTTTACATTATTTAAAATTATTTAGGGTGCTTATTTTTACTGTAGGCTTCACCTGAGATTTCGAAACAGTTAGTAAAAGCTTTAATTAAAACGAATAATTAAATAAAAACGGTTAATATGTGTGTATGACATAACAGGGTGTTAAAAAATATGACGTATGACTCTAATAGAAAATTCGGCGGTGCTTTAAAACGCAGTTCTTTAGTGTCATATTAAATGCACAACAACATTAATGATAAATAAAATTACTTGACATTTAAATATACACAAAACACTTCAAATTCTTTCTACGTATAAAATCACTGCATTAAATGAATGGATAAAATGAATCAGTCATGAGTCAAAGCCAAAATGAGCCCGAACACAGCAGCTGTGGTCCAAAATGGCTGTGTTAGTGGAGATGGAGATGGAGATGAGTGTGTGTGTGTGTGTGTTGTAATGGAGACATGGCAGAGCGGGTTTAATGTGGCCCACAGACAGCAGCTCAGCTTAGTGTGTGGATGATGTGCTTACATAACAGCTCGGCCTCAGATACACCGAGGGCAGGCTCAGACTGCAGATCCAACACGGCTCCAACACAGCAGCCTCCATTTTAACATCCTCCATCACAACATTTTCACACCACGAAGAAAAACACTTTCATTTGAAATTTATTTTTGCACACCACACTTAAATTCTCAGGGAGACAGAAACATGTTATTAAAACGACCTCTGTCTCAAATATGGCAAATTATCACAGCATCTACTGCAAAAAATTCTCAATGTGAGGTTTTTGCTGCCTCTATCTGTTTGATATCATTTTTAATATAATATTTATTTGGGTTTTGGAGTGCTGGTTCAGGAAAAAAAACATTTAGCAGCTTCACTGTGAGATCTTTGAATTTAGATGGGCATATTTTCACACTTTATTGATTGATCAATAAAAGATTAAGTGAATCAATAACTTACAGATTAATTAATAATGACAATAGTCAGTTGCAGCCCTACAAACAGCATCAAGACAGTCAAGGTAGATGATAAATTACATAACAACAACATCAAGAGGCCTAAAATAAACTTAAAGGTCCAGTGTGTAGGATTTACGGGGACATAGTTTTCATTACATTAATGAGCCATTCATATCTACATAGGGAGCTGTTCCTTGTCCATGGAAATTGCCATATTTCTACAGTAGCCCAGGACGGACAAACCAAACACTGAGAACATTTAGAATCTTACGGGAGGTGAACACCGTTCTCTCGGGTGAAAGTCGGTGTTTGTTGGACCCATCCATCACCAATCTTGCCCGCCCCAGTCCGACTTTAGCCACCCTACCTTTTGTCCTTGTCCTGCCGCGTTTCCCCCTGATGCTGCCGAACACTGTTAAACTACAACGGCAAACCGGCCAAGTATCATGTCAACGTTAAAGAACGCCTTTTTTCGTGGGTTTCTCACCACAGTAGTTCTCAGTTTGCACCGTAGTTTAACGCGAAACTGCTTAATGCAGCGTTTTTACCTGTTTAAATCACAGAGTTGTTTTGTCTTTGAGAGGAAGACACCTCTACAGATTAGGGATGCAGGATAATATCGGCACTTCATCGGTATCGGCCGAAATGAACCATCAGAATAGGCCAAAATGAATTTTCTTATTTTGCACAATAAATAAATATTACATACACTGAAAAGAAAGAATTCCACTACAGAAGAGACTTGATGATCACTAAACTTAGGTGGGAGAAAAAAAGTGGATATATTGATATTGGTATCAGATATTGGCCAAATAAGTTGTTCTACATCGGCATATTGGCAAAAAATCCAATATTGTGCATCCCTGATAATAATGACAACAGTGAAAATTAAGGTCCAGTGTGGTTTAGGGGAACATATTGACAGAAATGCAATTTAATATAATGAGTATGTTTCCTTTTAGTTTATAGTCACCTTAGAAATAAGAATCATCTTATATTTATTAGCTTAGAATGAGCCATTTATATCTACATTGGGAGCAGGTCCTCATCTATGGAGATCACCATGTTTATAATAGCCTTGAACGGACAAACAGAAGACTATCTCTACATAGGACCAACCATGTTTTTGCATTGGCCACTGTAGTTAGCAGCCCCTCTGTGATGAGAGCTTTGGAAAAACACAGATTTTTTAACATGAAACTGCTTTATGCAGTGTTTTTACTGGTTTAAATTACGTGGTCTGTTTGTTTTGGAGAGGAAGAGACCTCGGCAAATAATTCGGCTCAAGGTATGTCTGGATCTTAAGTTATCAGAGAAAATAGGTGAGCACACATCAGCAGGTGCTGGGCAAACGGGCCATCTGCGAAGCGCCAAATGGGGGATGAGAAACACAGATTTGTAACGTGAAACTGCTTTATTCAGTGTGATCATTGGGCTCTCATTTATAGACATGGCGTATACGCACAAAACAAGGCCTGAAAGAGGCGTATGCCACTTCCCACGCAAAAGTTGTGATCTGTAAAAACAGACTTGATGGAAGAAACTTCGACCCATGATTACGAACATTTTGGAGACGGGAAATGTAGATGGTGAGGTGGAAGCCTGACTGTAGAAATTGTTGAATACATTTTGGCACATGCCATTTTTCACTTTTGTCTGTATGTATATTCTCAGTATGGATCCTACGCATTGTTTTATAAATGAGATCCCTGGTCCTTTTGTTTTGTAGAGGAAGAGACCTCTGTGGTAAAAACCTCCTGAACAAAGAACACTGAAGGAATTCTAACCAGGAGAAGTTTCAGCTCACCACCACTAGATGCCACTAAATCCCCCTAAATCTTACACACTGGACCTTTGACTAAATTAAAAGTGATAAAAGATAATATTGTTGGCATTGTATTGTTTCTGCAAACCAAGACCACAATACATTTGTACATTTCATGTCAAAGTGACGTAGTATATGAGCTGACTTTGTCATCAGGAGGTGGAGGGGATGGTGGATGGTGTGAGGCTTAGGCGAGACGCCTGCTAAGCTGCAGACCATAGTTTGAGACCAAAAAATGACAAAACCAGTTGTGTTTTAGTGAGTCATTGTTGTGTTTACGGCAGCTTTTCAGACACCAAATGGGTGTTTTTTATTGACCTGTTGCTGTTTTTTTTCCACTGTAGATAGCGCCATGAAAAGCTGTTTATGGAGATATCACTGATTTTTCTGCCAGGATAGTGCCATTAAAATGTGGATATCACATTAACCACGCCGTTTTAGCTCATCTTCTACATAATGATATACAAATATAACAAATCCATGGTTTGCAGAAACGTACAACATTTTTATTGGTGATTAGGTTGCTTGTGTATGCACTGAGAGTGAAACACTTCACTTCAGTTGACACTTCTCTTGATTTTTTTGTGTTTGTTCTGAAATGAACATCAAATAAGCCCTTTTCTTGACTTGCTTTTATGGTTGCAGCAGTATAACGGTTTTAAGATATTCTTTAAGGCACACCGTGATATTAGAGTTGACGTTTATCACAGCGTGTACATTTGCTTATCTACTATATTGAAAAAGAAGCAATGCAGCTAGACGGAGAATCTGAACTTTACTTATAAAATAGTTTCAAGTTTCGATTCTAGAAATAAAACATTTGTTCAACCAAAATGAACCCCTCCATTGTCATTCCTTTAAAGGTCATTTTGACTTATAACAATGACTCCTACAACCCTACTCGCTTTTGATATTTTGTCTACATACAATGCTACTTGCAGCTAATTGAATTTATTTCATTCGCACTATTTTCTGGGTATTCTGTGTTGAGATAAATATTTGTAATACATGTCTAATATCTTTCTAATACATTTCTCTAGTGTTGATCTTTCACATAACTGAGTCCCCAGAGGTGTAGAAAATAGAATACATACAATTTTCCCATGAGACATACATATTCTCTGTCTTGTAAGGAGTCCTTGGCTGAACAACATTTGAGAACCTCTGGATTAATTGATTAGTTGGTGGACAAAAAATAATAAACAGCAATGAGTTGGATCATTGATTAATAATTAAAGTCATTTTAATATGCCCAAAATGATCTCGATACAACTTCTGAAAGGTAAATGATTACTGCTATTTTTGTTCTATATTGTAATTGAATAGTTATACATAGAAATATGGTAATAGTTGCGGAAAGATTGATCAATTAAAAGTTCAGCTTAAAATTCTGGAGGATGTTAGCTTATTGTTGAGTCTCATTTCCAGGTTGTCAAATTGGGCAACCAAACCACCAACCCAAAACACTGGTATTTGATAATCTGGGAATGAGACTCATGAATGAACTAAATTTATTTCAGAATTACAAACTGCACATTTTGTTAGCTAACAACTCCCCCACTGCTTCATTTCTTTGCATTTCAGTGGCATAAACAGAGTCATGCTGGCATTGTGGTCATCGTACAGGACAGTGTTAAGATACACTGCCTGGCCAAAAAAAAAGTCACCACCAAAAAAAAAAACGTCATACACTCTAATATTTCGTTGGACCGCCTTTAGCTTTGATTACGGCACGCATTCGCTGTGGCATTGTTTCGATAAGCTTCTGCAATGTCACAAGATTTATTTCCATCCAGTGTTGCATTAATTTTTCACCAAGATCTTGCATTGATGATGGTAGAGTCTGACCGCTGCGCAAAGCCTTCTCCAGCACATCCCAAAGATTCTCAATGGGGTTAAGGTCTGGACTCTGTGGTGGCCAATCCATGTGTGAAAATGATGTCTCATGCTCCCTGAACCAGTCTTTCACAATTTGAGCCCGATGAATCCTGGCATTGTCATCTTGGAATATGCCCGTGCCATCAGGGAAGAAAAAATCCATTGATGGAATAACCTGGTCATTCAGTATATTCAGGTAGTCAGCTGACCTCATTCTTTGAGCACATACTGTTGCTGAACCTAGACCTGACCAACTGCAGCAACCCCAGATCATAACACTGCCCCCACAGGCTTGTACAGTAGGCACTAGGCATGATGGGTGCATCACTTCATCTGCCTCTCTTCTTACCCTGATGCGCCCATCACTCTGGAACAGGGTAAATCTGGACTCATCAGACCACATGACCTTCTTCCATTGCTCCAGAGTCCAATCTTTATGCTCCCTAGCAAATTGAAGCCTTTTTTTCCGGTTAGCCTCACTGATTAGTGGTTTTCTTAAGGCTACACAGCTGTTCAGTCCCAATCCCTTGAGTTCCCTTCGCATTGTGCGTGTGGAAATGCTCTTACTTTCACTATTAAACATAGCCCTGAGTTCTACTGTTGTTTTTCTTCGATTTGATCTCACCAAACGTTTAAGTGATCGCCGATCACGATCATTGAGGATTTTTTTCCGGCCACATTTCTTCCTCGAAGACGATGGGTCCCCACTATCCTTCCAGTTTTTAATAATGCGTTGGACAGTTCTTAACCCAATTTTAGTAGTTTCTGCAATCTCCTTAGATGTTTTCTCTGCTTGATGCATGCCAATGATTTGACCCTTCTCAAACAGACTAACATCTTTTCCACGACCACGGGATGTGTCTTTCGACATGGTTGTTTAGGAAATGAGAAGCAACTCATTGCACCAGTTGGGGTTAAATAACTTGTTGCCAGCTGAAAGATAATCGCCCATGCAGTAATTATCCAATAGGAGGCTCGTACCTATTTGCTTAGTTAAATCCAGGTGGCGACTTTTTTTTTGGCCAGGCAGTGTATATACACCAAGGAATTAACAGCAATCAGCAGCAAGGGTCCCAATGCACCCTCCACTGGCACTTATATAAAGTCACATAGAGCTGTGATCACAATTTCCCATTGTCCAATCAGATGATTTCAGAGGTGGACCTTCTGTGGTGGTCATGACAACAAGTTTACAGTTGGTAAACAATGGAGGCGAAACTGGTGGTGCTCAGTCAGGCCCAATGATTAGGCAGCAGGTCGTCCATCATGGATGCGAAGCTCCTGGACCAACTGGTGGTACTCCCCATGATCCAGCCTCTTTTTTAGGGTCTCATGTACCCACACAGATCTCTGTTTATCTGCTGACAGCCTCTCACCCTCAACCAGAGCTACAGACAGTACCCACTGCCTCAACATGGCAGCAACTACACACTGATTACTGTGTAAAATGTACTACTCCTTCAACAGAAAAATATTACTGCATCTCTATATTGTTGTTAAATTTGAATTATAAAGGAAAAAGTGGTACCAGCCATATTTCAGATATCAAAGGCGACCAGACAATCTGAAGGTAATGGAAATGACCTTCGTCTGTTATCACCCAGACTCCCACCTGCTGACACGAAGCTTAACAACACAGGAGGGCAGCAAACAATCACTCATTATCTAAGTAGTCTTAATTTGTGGTGGCACAACCCGTTATTATTCAGGCTAAAGATAGAAAATAGTTCATATCACCACCTAAATCCTGTGTAACTGTGTCAGTAGGCTGACACTCACTTCATGTGCTGTGCTCCACTTTAATACTCGCCTCTGTTCTATCAGGCAAAAGGCTCAGCTGTGTCAGGACGTGAGTTTATATCCTAATATGCTCTTTTACACACAGTTAAGTGTCTTTTTGCTTAAAGATGCTCCTAAACTGTGTTAAAGTGATGTCATAATGATGTCATCAGGATTATTTTCAACTTTTAAAATCTCCATCCAGAGCCACAGAGGAGATACTCTCTGTGATGATAAACTGATCTTTATGTGTGAAACAGGTGTAATGTCCCTTTAACTGTATAAAATGTGATTGTAATACAGATGTGTGTGTCTGTGTGTGTTTCAGCTGCAGCAGGGTATCGGCAGACCCAGTGTGTATCACGCAGTGGTGGTGATCTTCCTGGAGTTCTTAGCCTGGGGGTTGCTCACCACGCCCATGCTCACTGTGAGTAACACTGTGTGGCGGCGGGAACATGGAGGTCGCACTGCATCAACATCCAAACAGCTGATTGGGTTCACACAGAGCGATAATGGCTGGGGCTCAGCTTGTGTTGGAAATTAACTTTTTGACTCACCGGTCAAGGGGACGGGTAGATGAAAAAATCCACAAGCCAAACGTGTTTTCCACCAGTAAGATATTTTTTTAAACCAGAAACAGCCGTGAAATCACCATCACCAAACCCACCAGACTCCATATAAATAAACAGTAATTTATCATCGTAAAACACACTTCATTCAAAGTCAACAGAAACAAAATTAAACTCACAGAACTCACTGGTTTGGTTGAAATTAACCCTTAACTCACCCAGTTAGATGTGACAACATGCTGCCTCTATACACACTAACATGACTGTTTATTTAAATGGAGTCTGGTGGGTTTGGTGACGGTGATTTCAGGGCTGTTTCTGGTTAAACAAAAAGGATCTAACTCTTTGACACAAAGCTCTATCTCTGTAGGGATCCTTTCATAATGTTGCCAGAAACTTAGAATAACAATCTGAGCCTGTCAGTGACAAAAACACTTTTAGTGGACGTAAATGGTCGGTGTGAACATGCCCTAAGTGGTTACATCACAGCCTGTTTTGCTATTGCAGCACTCTCGCCTGATACTAAACCAATTTTTAAGAAATGATTGTTTCCATTAGTCACATAGACACAAACACATGTGAAAACAGGGTTAAAATACTGAAGTAGGTCTGAATATGAATCATCAGTGGCAGAAATGATTGAAATATGTCAAGTACTGGAAGTTGATACTGAATGTTTGATCTGATATTTTTGATTTTTGTACAGTTCCTTTCTTATAGGAACTAATTCATCCAGGTGTTATAGTTATAGGTAACTTTAGTGCAGAATCTAGAGTGAGATGAATTCGAAAGATCAAAAGTGTGGAACAGACAGTAGTTTTGCAGTAACATGCAAGTGAAGCATGAGCTGTAACTGTAGACATCTAGGAGGGAGTGTGTTTAAGCTTAAACATCCTGTTGAGACGCTGGTCAAAGATGTTTGGCCCGGTCTGGAAAAAGCTTTAGTTGGAATAAAACGTAAAGCATTAAGAACTTAGGTAAACTCAGTTATAGTATCAGCATCAGTGTGGAAAGATTTCAAACATTACTCAGCTGTAAAGTCCAGTTCAGACCAAAGGTTCACCACGAGACGAGACAAATAAGCAACTACTTGTAATACAATGCTCTAAAAACCTGCCAATTCACACCAAGTCAACCAAATGAGACGGTGTATCATCTCTAGTCAACAACTCTCTGTACTTCTGTTCTGATTTGCAGCTTTTCAGGTTTATTTTGTGGCTGAATATAATTTGTAGCTTCTTAAAATCTGAATGAGGATAGTGATGGTGAGATACTGGCTACAGTGATGAAAGAAAGCCAGCATCAGATGGACTGTATTCATAATAATGACGCGCTTTACGTTCTGAAATCAGCCGCCGGCGATTTGACCAGCTGAGTGTCAGGTGACACCATCAGCCGGCTTGAGTCGAGCTCGGACCGGCCAGTTCACACTGCTGCAGCTTTTTTTTAAATCAGTATGTTTATAAGCTTTTGAAATCTATGCAGGTTTAATAAATATTAATGTGTTGCCTCTCTCCACAGGTTCTACATGAAACTTTCCCGCAGCACACGTTCCTGATGAATGGACTCATCCAAGGCGTGAAGGTAAGAACTCCAACCCTTCAACTTCACATGAGAGAATCTTAGTTATTTGGCCTTAAAGATGAGACGCACAAGGAACAAATTAACATTAGTATTAGACGCTAGCATGGGTCTTTTAACCCCAATGACATCATCAGGGTTATTATCTCTAAGACTCCAACGATAGAAACATAGTTCACTGTTGCAGCCACTTTTTATTTTGTCACTGACTCCGCCTCTTCATGTCAAGGGTCTGCTGTCATTTATGTCTGCTCCTTTGATCGGCGCGTTGTCGGACGTGTGGGGCCGACGCACCTTCCTGTTGGTCACCGTCTTCTTCACCTGCGCTCCGATCCCTCTGATGAGGCTCAGCCCCTGGTAGGTCTCACTGCTCTCTGTCAGCATGATAATGTAGATGTCACATAAAGACATTCAGCTACAGTAGAGTATGAAGTTACCTGGAAAACCAAACCAACAGATAACTTAAGGTCATAAACTGTGAAATCAGAGGTGTGAAAGTTGCTGTATCAATGAGGTTTCACAGTTATTATATGAGCTAATAGATCAAACCATACGATCAGACTGTAGATTACTGACCAGTTCTCCAGTATGCATCAAATATTCAGCCCACACTTTGAGTTTTCATCCTTCACAGGACAGTTACAGCAGAACAAGCTCTCTGTGAAGAAACTGTTAGTGTGAAACTGAAGGTGTTAAAGAGTTGTTCTCCCTCCTGCTCGTCCTGCAGGTGGTACTTCGCCATGATCTCCATGTCTGGAGCTTTTTCTGTCACCTTCTCGGTCATCTTCGCCTACGTCGCTGATGTGACGGATGAAAGGGAGAGGAGTACAGCCTACGGTCTGGTGAGGACTCCTGTTTTAATCTATACTTCTTAAAAGGATAGGTTACCCCAGAATTGACCTGTTCCTTTCAGCATTACACAAACCTCAGCATGTTAGCATTGGCACACAGATTTTAGTATTTAGCTCAAAGCGCTGCTGTGCCTGAGTACATCTCTACAGAGGTAGCAGAAAAATGCTTCTTCATGGCTTCAACAAATTGAGTGTTGGTTTCCAAACTTTAAAATTCATCTTCTGTCTTTCTCCTCTTAACTCCAAGGTGTCGGCTACGTTTGCAGCCAGCCTGGTAACGAGTCCGGCCATCGGTGCGTACCTGTCAGCCTGGTACGGAGACAACCTGGTGGTTCTGGTGGCCACACTCATCGCCCTGGCTGACATCTGCTTCATCCTGCTGGCTGTGCCGGAGTCTCTGCCCGACAAGATGAGGCTCAACACCTGGGGGGCGCCCATATCCTGGGAGCAGGCCGACCCCTTCGCTGTCAGTAACATATAATTTACTCATTTACTGTTTACTGCTGATTCCTAACTAGGGCTGCCTTTGACTAAGACTTTTCCTAGTTCACCAACAGTCCTCATCAGGGTCCATCAGTGGACTAGTCTCCTGCATGTTTCTGATATGAATGTAATGATTAAATGATATATTCTGGTGGTTTGAGTTGAAGGTGTGAGAAAGAATAGTATCAGTAACATTGTTAACACTGTGCTACATTACAGAGAAATACAAACCGTACTAATGAACCTTCATTAATATAGGCCTATATTTTATCTACAAGTGAACGTCACACACTGAGCGAGCCGCCTGTTAATGACGCTGTGGGCTAATGGGCATGTAGCTACTTCCATGTTTCACATGATACGTCATGTTTGTAGTCGACCAATGAAGATGAGTTTACATATCACCTTGGGTTCGTCCTTCACCTTCTCAAAATGATCCCACACTTTGGATTTCCTGCCTGACATGTTATTAACTAGCTTGTGGAATAACCGCAGGTACCAGCCCTGGAGATTAACCTGACGAGGACACTTCCTGTGTCTGTCCTTTCACATTAAAGTCACACATGGTCCAGTCATATAGGTTTGGATTTATTTTGACAAGGTGCAGCTCCTGATAGAGTTTCATGTTTGTTTGTTTTTCTAAAAACAGCAAGCCCCACCGTCTTGTTGCAGGACATATTTTGGCTTTTGTGGTGGCTCACAACTGACATCCATTGAAAACTTTGGTCTCATTTTGAAGCGGAGCATCTGCAGATTGATTCCATACCTGATAAGTTGTGATTCACTGAAGATAGGCATGCAAGGAGATGGAAAAAAGTCTGTTGTCTTCGCCAGTGTCTTGACTGTAAGGAAGCTGGGAGGGTTAATTCCACTGGATGCAGGTTTTGTTTCTTTTTTGGCAAATGAATTACACTCAAAATACCAGTATACAGAGGCACAGACAGTCTGTCGCCATAACTGTGCAAAAATGACACTTAATGGATAGTGAGAACACGACCAAGTGGTGTTGATGGAGGGAGACAAAGCAAGAACAGAAATGATTTAAGAGGTGCCAGATTCATTTCATTTTCATTTATTAATTTATACAGGAAAGTAAAAAGTAACATTGTGTGTTACAGTTAAAACTGGCTTCCTGTTCTACAACAAAGACACATCACAACAGAGAATAGAGGGCTGAAGTGGAGTAAAATGGGATATGGGATTTAAATCCGTGGTTGCAGATCTGTCCTTCCATCAGATAGTGTTTGAAATGTGTAATAGAGGTTATTGCTCTAATGTAGTGTGGGATTTCGTTCCAGATCTTAGTGTGATTGTGACAAAATGATCTCTGACCATGTTTATCCTTGTAAGATGGTACAGGAATAAGTGCATGTGAAATTAATCTAGTGAGATGCGTTTCTGTCTTGTGTTGTGACTTGGAAGAGGAGCAGGACGTTTAGGATTGGAGTTGTCGTTTAGGATCTGAAAATAGGAGTTAAAGGCTAGATTCTTAACAGGATGTAATCATGTTTGTATTATTGACATGATATATCAATATCACGTTTATTGTCAGTACCAGTACAAGTATATATGACACCCCTAGTTGAGTGGCCACGATCAGCTCTGGTGGCCGACTGGTGGAGATCTACCCTCTGCTGTTTGTTGTGTTTGTGGACACAGACTGTGGAGTGGATACCTGAGCGAAGGCAGCTCAGTGTTCCTCGATACGATAACATTATTTTTTAATGATGTTAATGATGCTATAGGATTACAGTGTGAATGGATACCTGTCATTGCTATAACTATTATAAAATGAGACAGTGGACGTGAATCAAATCGATTTCACAGACTGTAATGTTGACTCTTTGGATCTAAGTGGGATTTATACTTCTGCACTGAAACAATGCCATACCCACTGTGTTGATGCAAAGCCTACACTGTAGCCTGACGTGCACCTCCCCTGAAATATAATTTTATGTTGCAGTGACGCAGACCTCCTGTCTGTCTCTGTAAGCTGAAACCATTTCCCTCAGTGGAAACAAAACTTTTATTTACTTTAATTTCACAGATAAGAAACAAATAATTGTGAAGACAATAAGGCCTCCACAAAAATAGCATTTTAAGTCTTGTGTGTGATTTATCCTGGCTTCATATGAGCAGAGGGAATCTCCTCTAGCTGCTAAGCTAATTTATACAATGTAAAATGCCATAGGCTTGTGCTAATAACATTAGTATGGAAGCGTATTGCATTCACATGACAAATAAAAAAAGCCCTGTCTTTCTGAGTAATTTATTTATTTTTCTGTTTTTTCGTGGTAATTTTTTTCTTTGTGATGAGTAACAATGTCCAGCATGATGGAAAAAACTGTTAGCTTAACATTACCTGACAACTGAAATCATGCCCATACACGTTTGTCAGCTAACGTTGTTACAACCTGTTACTAACCTAACCTGTTACATTGAGCGATAGGCCTACACTAGAAGGATGCAGTAGAAAACATAGCAAGATTATCATACCCTATGTGTAACAAATTACATGCCTTACCCTTATTGATCCCGTAGTTGAAAATGTCTAGGAGCAGGAGCACGGATGCAAAATACATCCATGAGCAGGAGTCACCATGGATGCAGGGGTCACTTGCAGGTGCCAGGTGGGAGCTTCTCATGAGATTTTGAAGTATCTCGTCTCCTCGTTCAGGAAAAAAAATTACCACGAAAACAAATTTAAAAATAAATTACCACAATTTAAAAAAAAAACAAACCCTGAAAAACAGGAAAAAATTACCACGAAAAACTGAAAAAAATTACCCCGAAAACAAATTAAAAAAATACTCCGAAAAACAGAAAAAAATTACCACAAAAAAAACAAATTAAGAAATACCCTGAAAAACAGAAAAAAAATACCACGAAAAAAAAAAAAAAAAAACACTGAAAAACAAAAATAAATAAATTACTCCGAAAAACAGAAAAAAATACTCAGNAAAAAATTACTACAAAAAACAAATAAAAAAATACCCTGAAAAATCGAAAAAATACCACAAAAACAAATTTAAAAAATACACCGAAAAACAGAAAAAAAATTACCACCAAAACAAATTTAAAAAATACCCCGAAAAATGGAAAAAAATTACCACGAAAAACTGAAAAAAATTACCCCGAAAAACAAAAATAAATAAATTACTCCGAAAAACAGAAAAAAATTACTCAGAAAACAAATTTTAAAAATACCCCAAAAAAACAGAAAAAAATTACCACAAAAAACAAATTAAAAAAATACCATGAAAAACAGATAAAATTACCACAAAAACAAATTTAAAAAATACCTCGAAAAACAGAAAAAAATTACCACCAAAAAACAAATTAAAAAATACCCTGAAAAACAGGAAAAAAATTACCACGAAAAACAGAACAAATTACACCGAAAAACAGAAAAATAAATAAATTACTCTGAAAAACAGAAAAAATGATTCAGAAAAACAGGGCTTTTTTTATTTGTCAAGTGAATGCAATACGCTTCCGTATGTTAGCATGTTGTATTTGTTTGGAAAATGTGTTTAGTGTAAGACTGATCGCTTGTGTTGAGAGTTTCCTGTCTGTCTCTGTGTCTCCTTCAGTCTCTGCGTAAGGTGGGTCAGGACCCGACAGTCTTACTGATCTGCATCACTGTGTTCCTGTCTTACCTCCCTGAGGCTGGACAGTACTCCAGCTTCTTCCTCTACCTGAGACAGGTGAGACACGCTGCTGCCTAATACTAGAATTACTACTTATGTTAATGAAGTTTTTCTTTTTCTAAAAAGTATTATTAATAACCAGAGATCACGTCTGTCTGTCCCTCCAGGTCATTAATTTCTCCTCCACGACCATCGCTGTTTTTATTGGAGTTGTGGGCATCCTGTCCATCGTAGCACAGGTAACACACACACACACTCCACAGGATATTTACACTCATGTGTCACATATGTGGAGTCAGATTAGATGTAATTTAATACACTTAAATGTGTGTTTGCTTCCTCCTCAGACTCTGTTCCTCACGCTGCTAATGAGGACCCTGGGTAATAAAAACACTGTCCTGTTGGGTCTGGGCTTCCAGATCCTTCAGCTGGCCTGGTACGGCTTCGGATCAGAGCCATGGTGAGATATCTGTGTGTGTGTGTGTGTGTGTGTGTGTGTCTCTAACCAGTACCTTTCACATGTCTCCACGCTGGCAGCTGATCATGCTTCACTCTGGTGGCTCCGCTTAGTGTCAGCTGTGATGCAGCTGAGCAGATGTGATGCAGATGTTCAGCTGCAGCATCTCTCTGCAGCGAACACTGTGACACACAGTATGGAAAATATCACACAGAGATGTACAGGACACTCTGAACTGTGTGTGTGTGTGTGTGTGTGTGTTGACAGGATGATGTGGGCAGCTGGTGCAGTAGCAGCGATGTCCTCCATCACCTTCCCAGCTGTCTCTGCTCTGGTGTCACAGTCTGCTGATCCTGATAAACAAGGTGACAAACACACACTCCTCCTCTCCTCCCACCTGTCCTCTCCTTACTCCTCTTCTTTCATTTCTCTCCTTTCCTCCCCCTCTTCCTCTCTCCTCTCCTCTTTTGTTTTGTGGCACAGTGCTGTAACTGGTGCTTGATTGACACGTTTTAAGTAATAATCCTCCTTTTCCTCACCTGTCCTTTCGTCTCTCAGCTCCTTTCTCACCTCTTCTCTGTCTCCTCCCCCATCTCTCATTTCCTCTGTTAGTTCTTTTATCTTTCCTCTTGACATTGCTGTGTCCTCTTGTCAGTGTGTGGCACAGAGCTGTAGCTAGCACTTGAATGACACATTTTATGTAATAAAGGAGGTTAAAAGTCAGAGTCTCCTTTCTCTCCTCTCCTCTCCTCTCCTCTCCTCCTCACATCAATAGGTCAATGTGTCATTATGGATTTTTGCAGATGGAGTCGTATTACTAAACCAGGCAGTGAAATAAATCCACTGGCAGCTAAATATATCAGCAGATACAGTGCTCACTGTGTCAGCAGCAGCATCGTGTCTCCACTAACCCGACCTGTGTCTCCTCCTGTTGCTGCAGGTGTGGTCCAGGGGATGATCACAGGGATCAGAGGGCTGTGTAACGGTCTGGGTCCAGCTCTGTACGGATTCATCTTCTTCCTCTTCAACGTGGAGCTCAACACCATGGACCCCATCCAGGGAGAGTTCAACATTGACCCCCTGCCTCTGCACAGTCCCACTGAGGTGCGGTATCACTCAAACACACCCCGACTCTCCACAGAGAGAGAACAAATGCATTGATATGAAACCATATGTGCACAAAACAGTAACGTCAGCGCTCTATTTAAGGCAGGTGGTCACACTGACAGCCAACCAGCCCGCTCTCATTCCTACGTCCTCAACACTTTGTCACGCTCCGTAACATGTGATACTGACACTGAAGGCACCCTTTGAGGGGTGTAAATCTATCTGCAGCAAAACTTGATGCTCAGAACAACTGACGTAATATTCAGAGAAAGAAAGTCTGTGTAGAACGGGCAGGCGAGTTGGTGAATGGATCCAGGGTTCCCACGGTCCTGGAAAACCTGTCATGGAATTTCACAATCATGGAGAGCTCTGGTGAAGTCATGGAATTTTGTTGTGTATGATAAAATGGTTACAGTAATCCTGTAATGTAACATAACGGCAAATTTATTTTCTGTTGCCGTTGACGTGATGTAGCTCTATCGTATGTCCATGTGTGGCAGTGTTTTTACTATTACGTACGTTACGTCACTTTCTCCCTGCGTCATCTCTCCCCTCCTGTATGCCAGTTCACTGATATTATGTTTGAATAAAGTTTGAATCAGTTTGTTTGAAAGGCAAGTGGGGCAAGAAAAAAAATCTTTATGATGGGTTGTTGAAAAGTCGTGGAAGACTCTGGAAATTTGAAATGAAATGTGTTGGAACAAACACAGACTTACACCCTGGAGACTGTAGTTCATGTCCTGTGTGAAACCAACCATCAATGATGTTTTAATGTAAGGTTACTTAACTTAGTTTTGTACTTAGACGAATTTACGACACATTACGTATTTATTTTAAATATGATGTTTTTCTAACCCTAACCAAGTAGTTTTGTTGCCTAACCTTACCACGACCACGTGTATGAATGTGTTTAACAAGCAGACAGCTGTGCATCACATGCAGCTGTTAGTGTGTGCCTTATGTAGTGCAAAGGGTGCCTTTCGTGTTGATATCACACGTGAGTGGTGTGAGAAAGCATTGGTATTTGATGACCCGAGATGAGAACGTGTTGACCAGAAGGCTGCTTGCTACACAACACAAGAACCAGAGATGTTAAACAACAACTCACATTAGTTTAAGTTTACTTCTTGTCATGTGTTGCACCCTTGTCTGCTGAGTGAGCAATGAAACCAACATTTACTAGGGAAGAGTTCACTGCTAACATCAGTTTGCAGGCTGAATTTCTTCACACTCCAAATGACGCTTTTGTATAGCAATTATAAACCCTGTGCTTAGTTGAATTCGTGAATGGAGTAAAATATTTTCATCGCAAATTCAACATAACATAAGATGAGTTACTAAATAAACAATTGGTCATGTTGGGGGTGTGAAGTGTTCCTTCAATATTAAATTAATCAAAATTAGCTGTTCGGCTGCAGCACAGTTAAAACACACACAGCATGTTCGACCCACAGGGTTGTACAAGTTTTGGCTGCATGTAGATGTCCGCAAGATGGCGTAGTTCAAGTCATGCAGTCTCTTGCAGCTATATCGACACTGGAAATATAGTTTCTGTTTAAGTCAGTACATTTGAAAACTCATATTTAATGTAAAGCACATTCATTTAACTTGTAACTAGATGTTTTATATAAATTAAATTCCCTTGCTGTGTGCAACTCAGAAAATAAGTAATATTTGATATGCTTTAGTCAGCTGTGCTCCAGATGAAATTCGACAAAATGAAAGTTAAAATAACTTTGTTTCTATTTCTCTCTCAGCTGGGGCTCATCCCAGGCCCGCCCTTCCTGTTAGGGGCGTGCACCGTGGTCGTCGCCTTCCTCGTCGCCCTCTTCATCCCTGAGAAGCCTTCCTGCTCCTCCTCCCCCTCCCAGCTGTCCCTCAGCGACAAGCCCCACCTAGACAGCAAAGAGTCCATGTCCTCGCTGGCTGGCGTCCACATCAACACGCCCCTCCCGGGCAGCGACGAGGAGAACCCTCCCACTGCCAGCGATGAGGACTTTGAGCCGCTCCTGCAGGACAGTATCGTCTGATGGACAGGTGGAAGGCAGGTTTGATTGACATTTTCTTTGCCGCAGGGCGGGACTAAGTGTACTTTTATTGTCAGAAGATTGCAGTTGACAGCAGGAAGCCAGTGGGCATTGCTGACAGAGCCACCAGCGAGGAGGTACCATCTCACGAGTGACCAATAAGGATGTTTCTTTCACAAGGAGGCGGGTCAAAGAGCTGCAAATTACCAGAAGAGACCAGGACGATAATTTGACTGACAGAAAGACGGTGGGGCCAACAGGGACAACACATTCAAAAGGAAACCATCGTTTGACTGACCAGACGAGGGACCAACTGCGTTTCTTATGGAACGGCTAGTTTTGGGACACGCCCACTTCAGATCACCTGACAGGAAAGAGAAGTATTTTTGAGGTTTTAACGGAAGGATTATCATTCATCTTTAAGCTTGAAGTTGTTGATTGTTTTTGTGATAAACAAGAAAAGGTGTTTTTACCTTCAGCTGTATCATTTTGAAGCCGTATTTTGATGCTGTGATTATTTCTTATTGGTTATTGTACAAAAGAAACACGTCTGCAGCGTATTTACAGCAGCCAAAACATCAGTGTTGATTTATATTTTTTCTTTTTGGGGCTGGGTTTTGGGATTTTTATTCTTTTTAAGTGTACAGTATCTTCCTGCTACGAGCTATCGATCGCTAACAAGGTGTGAATGTGACGAGCTGAGAGACGAGTCAGCCACCTGAGATCCAACATGACAAACTATCAGATTTATTTTCATGGCCAGGTTTCCTCTTGAGTTTTTAGTTTCTCTAAATTAATTTCTTTATAAAACAATACCAGAACACCTCAGTGAGTAGTCTTCACTCGTAGTTTCAGCAGTCATTGTCCCCGTCTGTCACTCTACCTCAGATCAGCATGTTTTTAAATCAGACTCACCCTGGATTCACTCATCCTCTATCACCTGTGTTTTATTTTTATATCAGAGTCACTTTATGAATGCTGCTGGCTGCTGGCAGGGGAAAACCTCAGAGCTGCAACTTCACCTTCAGATATTGTTCATGGTTACAGTATTGCTCGTTTTTATTTTTAATGTTAGTGGAAAGTGGTTGTGCGGCTCAAACTGTCCAACAAACAGGTCAGATATAGAAACACAATCACAACAGATTCTTAGATTTAGTGCGTTTGTTGTGTAAATCCATTTGGACCAATGGGACAACAGGTGGCACAGTCACACATATTTGAACATTTGATGATAATATTTAAAGGGATACTATGCAGGATTAGCTAACGCAACATTCAGACCTGTCCCCTCCTGCATACTTCGCCCGTACGTACACTGCAAGATACTATTGTAGCTGCTGGTACCTACTTGTCCGTCAGAAATCATTGCACAGTTTGGTGCTATATTTGCGCTCCTCTTAGGTATCAGAAGGTGCCTTTCCATCCACCTGTTTTTAAGCGCACTTTTAATCTATACATAGAAATACCTGAGTGAAATCACCTAAAGAATTGGAAAAAAAATCTCGATCACTAAAAGACTGAACCCTAGGGGAAGGTTGAAAATTTGCTGTATCAAAACATGAAAGAGGTCTTTGATTTTGATGAATTTAAAGACATTTCTACCATAAACGGATGCGTAAAAAATCACCAGAATGCAGAAAAGTAAGTGTTCCTTATATATGTGCCCCACCCAATTAGATGGGGAAAAATTGACAGATGATTTAGGTATCCGCTTTTGGCCAAATAAGATTAAAAAAAATCCAATATCGTGCATCCCAAGCGCCTATTGCTCAATATTGCTATTGCTCATCTCGATAAGCCAAATCCCAATATTTGCATAACAGTCGTAAATAGAGATGCACACAAATTTGCATTTTCTTTGTACCCTGGAAATCCAGAGTTCTTGCAAGAGCACAATTTGAATTTGTTCAGCGAGTCACTCTGGCAATCAGTAATGATGCTCATTACCCATGCCGTTGGAGCCGAGCTGCACCAATCACATCGGTGTAACTGATATAGGCGGGCCAGAGGCGAGCTAAACAGATGACGACAGCGCTGCGACGACGAAGTCCGGAATCAGTCAGTAAACATTGCAAGATGGCTACGGATGAACACCAGTTGTTTGAAACGGCTTTGGCCGCTACAATGAACAAGTTAGACTTGGCTTTTTCTCTAAAAGAGGAACAGAAGACGGCGCTCGAGTCTTTCCTTTGCAAGAAGGATGTTTTTGCTGTTTTGCCGACCGGATAAGAGTCTATTCTACCAGTTAGCTCCGCTGGTAGCTAAGCTCTGGATACGTCACCCTGTGTATTGTTCTGATTGGTCGTAGTGTTATCCAATTGGGTGCAGTGATATTTTCAAATGCATGGTTGGTGCTGCCCCTAGAGTTGGGCCATTTGCATTACTCATAGGCAGACCCTAAATCTTTCTAGATTTGGGTCTGGATTTCCAGGCTGTTTTCTTTGACCAATTTTGTGAAGACATGGTTAAAATTTGTGCTACGTTTGGATGGAAACCCAGCTATACTGTATCAAAATAATGGACATAGTCACTGTGACGTCACTCGTTGATTGTTGGACTAGTTGGACAAGTCTGGCATGTAGAGTTTTGGAGCCAGAAGTGACTGTTTGGACGGCCACACCCTTAATTATGAGGAACTTATGAGGAAAATTAAATGTAGACAGATGGGTTATATATAAATTCACCCCACCACAATTGTCGTGAATGTTAAAATAAGCTATAGAGACCAAAACCTTTTTTGTACCAGGCTGTTAACATGTTTATTTCTGCTGTAAAGCTGGACATTTTAACATGAGGGTCTGTGGGGATTGACTCACTCTTGGAGCCAGCCTCAAGTGGCCATTAGAGGAACTGCAGTTTTTTCCTCTTTTGCATTGGCTTTACTTTTCAGCCCTGGAGTTTACTACTTGGTCATTCGTGATGATCCTGTATAGTATATCTTTATGATCCAGTCTCCAAAGGAAGATCAAAATGATTAGGTTTTTTACTTTTTAAAACAAATACGTAACATAACTCAGGAGTCACGCTGCCTTCTAGTGTAGAGAAGTGCCACTAGATGGCAGCATCACACCATGAAGACGCTGCTTGTGGCTCTGATTGCCCAGAATCGGCGTGCTTTCGTCTGTGAGTTGCGATGGGTGCCTGGTCCCACTATCGCAAGTGTAGTTTTTACGTTAACTGTGAGATCAGCTGGTCATTTATGTGCTGAGAGTGTCTCACAGTATGATTTTAAAAACACATGGTTTTATTTCATTGACGTTGCAGTTATGAGGTTTTCCCCTGCAGCAGTGATTTTCCTGTGAATGAACTTATACTTGAAGCATCGGACAGATTTAACAAGAGCTTTAGAGAAGATTTAGCAGAGTTTAGCAGTCTATAACTGGAACAGAGTGTACATAGTTATGTGCTTTATGAGCCTAAAGAGTAACTGTAAATGTGAATTATATTATGGTCTGTATATAAGTGAAGTGTGGGGGTGTTTATCGTGGTTGATACGAAGGTGAACATTTGCCTTCAGTAAACAGTTTCACTTCATTTCCCCTTTCTGCTGTCGTTCACACCAGAGTGTGTTCACATGCGCACTAATGTCCTGGTAATGCGTCTTGTATCATATTCGGTCACTTTATTCATCACTTTATGATGGCAGTCAAACAAGGAGAAAATTGTCTGTCATATCTTTGCAGCTCTCACTTTTTTAATGAAATCTGAAAGGTGCTAGATCAGATCTCCAACAAACAGATCTGCATTTACATGATTCTCCAGTCTCATCTGTTTCTGCTCTTTAATTTAACACTTCATGACTGTAACATTGACAGACGCCTGTTTATGCTGCCATTATCAGATTTCATGCTTTGTCTTAAGTACACAAGTTTTCCAAAGCACGTAATTTAAATTTCTGGAGATCTTAAGTTTGATGCAGCAGGATATTTGTGCGCATATGAACACAGTTATTTAGTTAAAATCTGCACCCGTTCAGTGAAACTGACTCAGCAGTGTAAATATTGTACATGGATTGGATGTTTGTACATGTGAAGAAATGAAATGTACATGGGATTCACTGTAAATACACTTTGTCTGTTGTCTTGTCTGGAAACGTACCAGCCAGTTGTTGGTTATTGGAAATTAAAACAGAGTAACACTTGGGTTCTGCCTGAAGAGTGCTTTTTAAACTATTACAGCTTGCCACACGCACACACACACACACACACACACACACAGTTTTAGGCGTATATATATTTTACTTACAGTGTGTCTTACTGCTGCTTTTATTTTGTGTCAGCTATGTGTGTGTATATATATATATATATATACAGAAAATCGCACCAGTCTGGATTTAATGCAATTTCTTCTTTGAACATGGGCGTATTTCCAGGTGGCCCCACAGGCCCCTCCAGCCCACCACCTGGCTGCACTGTCTGTATTTACGTCCCTGTACCCAGCTGTCATGGAGATTTAATCACTCAGCTTTCCTTTTTCCTGGGAACATCAGGACTTGCCGTATTTGTCGGCTCAAAAACTGAGATCAAAGGTTTGTTCTTAAGATGATCGAAAGCTTCAAAACAGCTGATAAATATTTGAAATGCAAATCTTAATCTAAGTTTAAAAAATAATGATTATTAATATTAATATAGTAGTGGTGGTAGTAATAACAGTAGCAGTAGTACTTTCAGTATTCCCATAATTATCATCATTATTATTATTATTATTATTATTCTAAGAGATGTGGTGCTCAAAGTGCTTAAAAAATGCAACCCCTTAAAACAAAAGCAAAAACAAACAAACAAACAAAAAATTAGGTTATTAAATAAATAAGAGAAAGTACAAAAAGGGACAGGGAAGAATAATAGAAATGAGAGAATTAATTAAAAATAATAATAATAAAAAAAAAGAAGGTGAAGAAGAAAAAGAAGAAGAATGGCATTAATTAATAGCCAAATTGAATAAATAGGTTTTTAGCTGTTGTTTAAAAATGTTCAAGAAATCATCATCTGAGTTAAACTGCATTAAAGTGATTTTAAAATATATTTTTTAAAGAGTACAATAGAATAGTAGTGCCTCTGTATATATAACAATAATAATAATAATAAATATAGCCGCGAGCGGCAATCTGCGGGTTCTAACCTGTTCTGCCCCAAACCAGCCACCGTGACCCTCACCACTCACCGTGACCCTCATCTGCCGTAGTGCAAGACGTTCCCCACTCTGTCCCTGAAAGCTCCAAGCAATACA